TCTCTCCATCTATATTTCGTCGCACGTCCTCATTTTAAATTCACTTTTCTGAAAAGCATACACCGTGTTTGAGTTGTGCCTCTTACGCCACTTTCTGTCACTCTATATTAAGCTTTTTTTTGTAGCGTGGCAACTGAAAAATGCTGAAATATTTTATTTATTTCTTATTTTTAGTTCTGTTTATAATGTTTTTTTTAAATCTGAAAAATTAGATGTACACCATTTTAAATTGCTCCCCTTTTATGTCCATTTTACTGACATTGTAAAAAAAAAACCCTTAAGGAATAAAAGGCTTCATTTAGTAAACAGGTAGAGTGGAAACTCCCACATCCCATCCCTCAAAGCAATTAGAGAGAGGCCAGGAAGCACTTTATTTTATGATCTTATTAAGACATTAGAGACACCACTGYGCCGACCCTCATCACTGCTTAATTTACCAATACCCTTCTTGTTTTTAGCTCTCACTCAGATATTTCCCTAAAGCTACATATGAACATTTTTGAAKAATGTATTTTGGCTTTCTTGTGGAGTCCTACCCTGTACTTGTCGTTTTTTTAGTCTATTTATCTTGTCAGTCATCCACGTCAACTTTCAAACTGCTTTCCCTTCAGACCCAATGAAAAACTTGTTGTTCTTTGTGCAAACACAAAGGTTACCATTTCACCACTTGTCCTTTATGTTTTCGTGGCTGTTCTCCTTTCTGAGCACGTTTTGGCCCTAACAACTATTGTGCATCATTCTCTGGTTATTTTGCGTGAGCATGAAACTGTCCATTACTCGGTCTGTCTCCACGTCCGGCAGAGAATCGGTAAGACAAGATGAAGTGACTCACCTGCCTGATATTTTCTTCTACGTTAGAAAAATGAAGCTTTGTGGGAAAACWCTGGCCTGTGCCCTACCTTCCCTGTATCTGTGCAAACACGCACTGAAAGAGTTCCAGGCTGCAGTTTTGAGACCTGTGGCTTTAAAATCCAGCTTAGGCAGACTCAGCTGCTCTTCAATGACCTCTTTCCATGGGAAGACACACTTGAGAGGAGAAAAGCAGAAGAGGAAAGAGCCGTAGCATGTCTGGATATTTTCCAACATCCTCTACCTTTATCCTTTTCATGCCACCCCATCCTCCAGACAACTCCTGCATCCTTTGTAGAGTCCTTAAAACAATAGAGGTGCTTATAATCCAGTTTTATGTCTACATCAATCTCAGATGGTTGACATTGAGTACATTTATCAAACTGAGTGCTTAAAAATCGATTTCTTCCTCTAAACCACTTTTTTTGTTCAGTTGGTAAAGTTTGGATTCACAGCTCAGTGATTAAAATTTCATTTACTTAACCCGTCACCCTACAGAACGGCAACCCCGCTAACCCTTTCATCACGCTTTTTAATGCCATGAATTGACAATGACAGAGAACATAATATAAATAAAAAATATATAAACTAGCTGCATGCGCATGAAGAGAGAGAGAAAGAAAAAGAAGAAAAAAATTAACAGAAAGTGAGCACAAGAACTGAAAATCTGCTCAGGCGCACAGAGAACAGTGTGTAATACACGAAGAGCCTGAAGAGAGAACTGAGTGCAGCTGTACTGGGTTCATTTGAAACGAGTTAACCTGAAATGAAATGAACCGAAATTTGCTGAATTGAATTTGCTCTGTCTTCTGCAGAACGTGCGGTTCAAGTCATATTGAAAGTTCTGTACATAGAGTTGGATGATGCAACACGGAGAACAAAAAAAATAGTAGACATTTTTGGTGAATGGATGTATCAGAAACAGAATACAAGGGAATTGAGAATATGCACAACACATTTGTTAATAATGTATTAATGTATAAATAGTTAATGGACTGTACTCATATAGCATCTTCCTATCCAATCAGGATCCTCAAAGCTCTTTATACTACARTCTGTGCCCTCATTTACCCATCCACAAAGCTAATCTGAATAAATCATTCTATGGAGACTAATCAGTGCTTCAATCACATTCATACACTGATGGGACACACATCAGTAGGGGTTCAGTGTCTTGCCCAGGGACACTTTGACATGTGACTGAATAGCGGGGGAATTGAACCACCAACTCTCACAGTTTTAGCCGTGTTTCCATCAGGGTTTTTTAATGCGTATTTTGAAGTATTGCATCAGAAAAGTTGAATGGAAACGGCTTGATTAGAAAAAAACTTCCTCTAAAGTTGATACGCTCGTTTAAGGTGTTTTTTGGGTTTTTCGAAAAAGAGTTGATGCGCAAAAAGAGAGATGGAAACACATTTGTCGAATCAGTTCTGACGTAGCGAACATTTACCTCACACGTCGATCAGCTGTTCCCGCTGTCTGTCCGAAACCGGTCCTGGTACCAGAGCGACTGCAGCTGGACCCTCCTCCCGCTGTCGGCGTATTTGCAGTGAATCCCGTAACGTGAAAAGAATCGCATTTCTTTCTCTACGTCTCCCGACCGCATGTAAAATCTCCAAAACTAGTTGGTGACAGAATGTACAACTTTCCCGACAGTAGCAACACGTTCCTGATAACTTCTCTCCATTTTCCTGAGATGCGACTTTTACTTCCTTTTTACTACACACATGCGTCTGACATAACTGATTCGGTTCAAGCCAGTTGATGGAAACACGTCTGATTCGCTTTACTTCGTTTTTTTCCCCTTTTAGCGAAATTTTAAAAATTTGCTCAAAATTCGAATTAAAATTGGATGGAAACACGGCGGAGGATGACACCCCCCCCAACAAACACTCAGCCAAAGCCACCGGAATGTATGATGTGCTACTATTTATAGGAAAATGAAAGAAACATAAAATAATTAATGTATCTTATTGGTTTAAAACCCCAAAAAGTCTAAAATGTAACCAATAAAATGTCTGAAAAAAAATCACATCGTTGCTATTCTAACCTCTGGGTGGAAGGTTGAAGTGAAGGAGTGTTTCATCAGAAGGGAGGATGACAAGTACCGAGAGCAACAACATTTTCTTTCCCCTCTTGCTGCATCTCTTTTCAACCMTCCCCCCTGTCTGTGCATGTTGGTGGCCATTCTGTCCATGCCTGCATGGAAGGAAATGATTTACCGCTGCTTTCAGCGTCACGCAGAGAGTGAGAAGATTACTCACCGAGAGGCTGCTCACACTGGGAACCGCTGAAACACAGTTAAGACAATGAGGTGGCTCCTCAGCCAGTTTTCATTCCTGTGTTTTTGCCTCGTGGGTAAGCTGTTTTCCCAGGTAATGATTTATTTTTGTTTTCTTCTCCACAACATCCCTAAAGTGTTGGACTTTTCTCATTCTAATGGATGCTGAAGGCGAACAATAACGTTTCCACAACATAAAACGCATTCTTTGTAATCACACAGGCTGGATTTGTATGCAGCGGGTTGCAGCAATAACATTAAGGCTGATTAGGAAATTTTGATGCTGTAAAAAAAATTTTTGCTTACTTTCTAAATTAAGTACCTACGACTGAAACCTACTCGGATTGGAAGTTTTTTTTATTTTATTTTTTTGTAATTTCCGAAGAATTTCTGTCAGTGTGGATTTAAAGTTCATCCCCTGGCATTGATTAAACCCCTAAAACCTCATTTCTGCCCTTCAAAAAAAATTTTTATCTGTAGTTTTCCTCCCTGAAAATAATCCCCCTCGTGACTTAAAACAGCTTAGATGTACTTCAACACCTTTGCCTCATTTAGAATGCGTGGATCTATGAATATGCAAAGCAGTCCCCGCCTCCATCTTCACTGTCTGCCTGAAGCTTTACCTCAGCTCAGAAACTGAATGAGAAGTGGTTCGACTGGATTAGGAGGGAGCACTGTTCACCTTCAAGTTGCTTTATCTGAATAGTTGCTTTTTTGTGTGCGTCACACTTTATAGTGTAAGAACTGACACTTCCCAGCGGCTAAACAATGTAAGAAAATGATGGATAATGTATTCAGTCATTGTTACATACTCTAATTCTCCCAGGATGTTCATTCTTCATCCACCAAACTGCTTTCCATTAATAAAAAATGATTAATTAATCTATAAGAAGTGAAACGTATTCTCTTAATTTCCTCACAATCAGTTAGATTTTTTTTATTATGCAGCCTAGTAAAAACAGTAAACATTATCTTTTTTATAATTATTTTATTAGTTATGCGAGGAATTTAAGTCAAACCAATGTAAGGTAATACTGAAATAAAGCAGTAACAATGTGGTATGAGCTTCTTTGGTTGCACTTTTAAAGCCTCATTTTGTGTTTTAAACAAAAACCACTTGTAAGAGCACAATAAAATTGTTTGCCTGCATTAAAATCTCTCCACCAATTTTTTTTGATTATTTTCTGAAATCCCACCAGGTAGTTTTGTGCGGCACAAACAGAAAGATTAGACTAAAAATATCCGTTTGAGAATTGCTGCTCGACAGAAACGAGAAACGAGGGGGAGAGAAGAACAAAGGGTAACACTCGACAGAGAAAGGTGGACGGAGACGCTGACTCAAACAGGATGAAAGGTTCTCATGAGGGGCAAACAAACTAGACAAACATCTTCGCTCCAAAACATAAAGGGGAACATATGCAACATACACCTTTTTTTTTAGTTGTTAAATGTATTTTGATGTGTACTTGGGAGTCTCTAGGAGTGCAGAAAAGTTGAAGTTAGTTTCTCCCAGTGTTGAGTAGATATCTTTATATTCTGTTTGGGTCATATTTCTCAACCCGTTTGGTTTTCTTTATTCTCTCCGATGTTTTCTGAACTATTACATCACAGTATTTGCAACAGAACTTCTAAAACGAGTTGATCTGAGACGTACCTCAGAAAAGAGGTGAAATAGGGGCTTGTGGAGTTACAATAAGGAGAAATTCAGAGCAAAGCATTGCAGTTCTACTTTATATAGACRCATACCGAATGATTTAAAAGTGAAAAAGGAGGATTTAAAAGCACACGTCTCCTTTAAAAGCCTGCATGTCCCAAACCTACCCTTGACTCAGGTGACTAAGACAAGACGAATGGCAAACTAAGCTCTCACCTTTCGTATTATCATTCTTGTCTTTTCCTCACTGCACTGTGCCTGGAACGTGCGTGGCTTGGGGAGGGGTGGCTTTCTGCTTCCAGTTCTTGAATTCTCTTCCATTTCTTTCACTTGTCACCTGAAGAGAGAGAGAAAGAGAAAAAAAGACAAAAAAAACAAATTGATAAGTTATGAAGTGAGTTCAGAGTAATGTCACAAAGCACCATATGTGTCAAACAAAACTTTATCAAAATTATGTTTTTTTTTTCTTTTTTCCTTTCATTAATGGAGTAAAATGAAGTTAAGAAAGCCATTAGGCATTTTAAATGTTGCATTCCATTCTGACTGTCGCAGAAACACTTTATAAGGAAATCCTGACTAACTTCGAGTGGTTTTATTGCTGTAAAAAAACAAGATGACTCACAATAAACAGGAGGTTAAACACGGTAAACACTGACTGGTATCCAGACAGAGTCATACACGTTGATGAATAATAAACATTACAGTATTAAATAGCACTATGGGTGTCATTTATAGTTTGCATACTTGTTGGTTTGTTACTGTGTCCGTTCTCTCTTTCTGCTGATTACATAAACTGTTTTGACATGCGCCGTTTGGGTAATTTTATCATGGCTGTAACTGCTCAGAAATAATTGACACGGTTTGTTTAGTGAGTGTGCGTGCGGAGGGGGGTGTCTTACAGTGCACTGATGAAATTGCTAACATCTGTGACAGCCGCTATTGAGCGCGCAAAACACTCCTCTCGCCATCTCATTTGTAGAGTACAGCTGCACGGATAAAGCATGAGGGTTAAGCAAATAATGCACAATGGCCAGAAAACAATGCACTAGCCCGGTCCCTCCCCTATCACTCACAGACACCCTCGCACACTCGCTCCAACTGCAGCGTGTTTTCTAAGAGTGTGCCAGCTGCGTGTGTGAAAAAATGACTAGCACTGCTTGTCTTCTTTATTGCTTTGAACAGGACAGACACCCCTGCTACCCTCCCATTCATTCCCAATCTCTTTTCTTGGTGATGAACCTCCTCGGTTGAACTCGCTCTCCGTTTGTATCCCTCCAACCGCGCCCCTCCAGTCTGGTGTCGACCCTCGAACAAGGCGGCAACAGTGCTCCTTTGTCTGCCCCCCACCCTCCTCCTCCTCTCTCCTCTTGCCCCTCACCCTGCCCCGAGTGATGCTGGTTGGCGGGGACGGAGGCATGCCTCGACACGACGAGAGGAATGTAAGGGACGAAAAATGTATTTGGGAGGCGGGTCAATTTAAAAAAAATTAATAAATATTCGCAGGAAACTCAGGTGATTTTTGCAACTCTACGTCAGTTCATCTGCTCAGGACTGGGAGTTTTCAGAAAGTGTGTGTGGGGTGAGGAGGGAAAGAAGAAGGTGGGTTTTAAGTGACCACACCCTCAGCGAACCCAACGACTCCAGACTCAGCGTCGCACAAAGTCATTTTGCAGAGACTCACCGCTGGTTTAGACAGGAAAGCTAGTTTTAACTCTTAAGTAAAGATGGAAAAGACAGAGGGGAAATGAATTCTTTTATTTTTATTACTACTCTTTGAAAAATAGTCCTTTTTACAGGTTTTCACAGTTAAAAAACTGTGTGTGTGATACTCCAATGGGGAATTTGTAAAAAATAGCCTTAAGCACACAACGTAAAATTTCTCATTTATGCAAAGAAAACACAGCCTCTGCCCGCTGAGGTTAGTCAGGACATAAYTTTAGCCGACTCATTCTGGTACCAATGCAAACCCGGCTGCCTAATAGCATAAATACGTCTCTTGTAATGGTGTTTGGGGAATGTCTCATTTAGCAGTGAGGGAGCCAGCGTGGTAGAGCGATACCTTTTAGCCAAAACACATAAACTCTGTGGCACCTCAAAGGCAGTCGGATCATTAAACCCATTTAATCTACAAACGTTTTGTTTGTTTCAAAGTACCTTTTGCCGTTTAGGTGCTTGCAGATTTAAGCCACGCCAATTTACTCTCAGCTTGAGAAAACAGGATACGGCGTATCTGTAGGCAGCGACGAGGCGAGTCACTGTATTTATGTACGTGTGTGTAGAGTACGCGATGTGACAGACTGACAACATGTGTGAGAGTGCGTGTTAAAATGCCCAAATGTGTGTGTTCGCATGGCATGACTGTACTAGTGATGCAGCTCCACTGCCGCGATCTAGACTCCTGCCTCCTCGTGGCACCCGCTGCGCCTGCTTCATTAATCAATATGAGAGATGAAGACAGACTCCTGCTGCGCCGCGACGGAAAACGGTGGCTTGTGTTCTTAACTGTGTGTACGTGTTTGTGAGTGTACCGAGACTGGAATGCCCTCGGGTAGAACGTGGCAGACATGATGCAAACCTTCAAGGCTTCCTGCCCACACAGATCATCTGCATTGTTAGAGCCTTCGTGCCCCTCTGGAAATAAACAAAAAAAAAAAACAAATGTCTGACTCCATTTGTGGACTAGAATAGGCTGATGTTTGCCGCTGCAATTTTGTGAATCTCCTTCAAATTCTAATGTCTTTATAAAATGAAAACTATTTGAGCTTTTACTTTTGGAAGTTCTGTTCTATTAAATTCCATGATTTATTTACTTCCTGAGAAGTCGCACAGGTTAAGTAATTGTGAAAATGTAAATTAAGGATTAAAATAAAGTCATGCCGAATATGAAGCTTCTTTGATGACAACAATCGTCCCACTTTATGTGGTTCAAGCCTTTAAAGAAATAATGAACATTTTTCAACTTCAACTGTAAGYTCACATGCACAGAAATGTAATTACACCCACCCAAAATGTAATTGGTGTGTCTCTTTTCAATCTTGCGTTGTAAAAAGAGCTTTAATTGGTTACTGGGAATTCTCAAAAAACAAAGGTTTAGTGTACCTCAAACTAAAGAGGAAAAAGCCCCAAATAAACTACAATTTTCACAGACCAATACGATACACCATACTCTTTTTTTTTCTCACATATTTTGAGTGGTGAAGACAGACGTTTTGGATCCATTTCAAAGAGCTACTCAAATTAAGGCAAACTGGTGGGAAAACAACCTTCTGGAAGTCCTTTTTTAGTACTTTTTAAACATTTTACTTCATAAGAAAAAGATAAAACAATGCTCTCTCGTTCAAAATATCAGGACCTGTCACTCACACAGGTATATTTGAAACACCTTTGTGATTCTACTAACATGCTGGCTTTATGGAACTAATGCCTTAYTGAGCATTAACTCATTTTGTCTGGATTTTGCAGTTGTAAAATTTTATTACGTGGATTTCCCTCAGCCCTTGCAGTGCCTATTACGGGACAGAAGCATGCAGTAAAGGTGTTTGCACTGTGACGGCTTGGGAGCAATTCACTTTAGAAGAAAGCAATAGACATTTTAACAAAGATGTGTGATACATTATGGTCACATATTTTTGTGAGTTTGTACAAATGGCTTGTTTAAATTGAGAAAATCTGACAGGGCACATATATTTCTAGGTCAAATGAGATCCATGATTATCAGAATTTATTTTAATGGTTTGTGGTCAGATTGAAWTAGGGAGTTTGGGGTAAAGTGTGCAGCACAACTAGCTGTGACTGGTGGTGAGAGTGGGATCAATCTGTCCCAAAAACTGGTTTAACCTAAAAGAACTGCTGTTGTGTACATTTGTGAATAATTAACATTCATATTGTAAGATTATACTGTTGTTGTTTTTTTCTTTACGGTGAAATGAGGAATGCATGTAATTTCCTGGTGCTCCCAATGACTTGAGCCACTAAGACCATTTTTATCTCAGAACATTATCAGTCATTGGAAGGTTTTGCCTCCTCGGTGTACTACAGAACCATTTTGTGTGTATTCAATATAACTTGTGATGTTTGGCCAGGACTCAGAGCCCTCTTTGTTCGCTATTGTGAACTGATGAATGAATGGTTCTTCTAAATTTCATACAGAGATGCACTGTGTGAAAACCATAGCGACACCTCTGGGACCACTCGTCTGATGGAGAGATGTAGTCACCAAGAGTAGGGTTCTATTTAAAAACTGCTAGAAAGGAAATTTTAAACTTTGGATTATTTCATCATTAGGTATCCAGCATTTCTTTCTACATTACAAATGTTATTCAATCCCTATATTAAAAGTTAGTAACTAAATGCACAAGATAAGGAGGTAATTAAAACTTAAATGTAGGATTAAATTAAAAGTGAGGACTGGTTTCATTCAATGTATTATGTTTAAAAAATGGGTTTTGGTAGATCTTGCTCAGTGATCAATCACGTGAGCTTTTCCTATGGGTTTTTAATTTTCATATCCATTAAAAATCAGCATAAACATGCATAAAGTTTTACTGTGACTCATACTAAAACCCAGTGTGTACTCATAAACTCATGATAATAATATTCTGAAAGTTTCCTCACACAACTTCACATGAGATGAAAGTCATTTATGAAAACTTCTAAAATGCAACATGTTTTTTTAACTAGATGTGACACAGAACTGAATTCTTAAATGTTTTTCTATAGAAAGTTGTCGTAGTTATGGCGCGCAATTAGTATAATGAAAAAAATTATTGGTTTCCAAATGCAAAAAAAAAGTTATTTTATATACTGAAGATAAACGATGGTAATTATTTTTACATTTTATCCCTATATTTAAAATTGAAATACATTTAGTTCAATAAGAGACAAAAATTAAACAGAATATTCTGTACTGCTTCTAAATCCAAGATGTTCTGATTGGATAAGTACATTGTGTGATTTGACATTGTCAGTCTGACACTCAGACAAAGGGGTCGATGTAGGCCTCAAGAGGGCAGATGACAAACACTCCTAAGCCATGGCCAGACATAATCCCCCATCCCTCCCACCCACACCCACCCAAACACACACACACACATCCCGCCAAAACCCTCAAACTCAGGGTGGAGGTGGACTTATTCAGAGCATATTAGGGAGGTGAAGGGGGCCAGGCACAGAGGGACCCTCTTCACTCAGCTGTCCTAATCGTCTGAGACAGCCCCTCCAGAGGCAGACCTTCCCGCCTGGAAAAAAAAAAAAAAGAAAACACCCCACCCCCCTCAGGCATGTCCCAGACACATCCAGGAGTGTTTACAAGGGCAGGCGGCCATGAAGCAGAGAAGC